ATACATTAAATACTTTATTTGTAAGTCGTTCATCAATTGTTCCTTATATCCTTCATGACCCTTTCACTTATCAAATTCGTTCGGTTTCTCTTTCATTTTTCCTCGGTTCAATCTTCTCAATTTTCTTTTGACAAACCTTCCACTTCTGATCGTTGTTACATGATACAAATATCTATCAATATAATTAGCACGTACCACACTCGTTCCCCATTTCAATAAGCTGTTCTCGCAGTTGTTCCGATCACCGTATCACTGTATTCGTTGTCGTTGTTCGCATCATGGTGTGATTGAAACGATAAATTTAGTTAAACAGAATTTATGCACTTACCCTTCTCTCTTTACTAGATCATGTATACTGCTGTCAATTGAATTATTTGAGTCTTGTCAGATGTGGAGATCATAATAGCTCAATCAACCAACGATCAATCAATCATTCAGTATACGAAAGACCAAATAAAAACTGGAAAGCGATATGCCAGAAAACTAACTTCAATTTATGTCGTTTGGTGATAGATGGCATTGATGTAAAGAATACATATTCACTGAGACTGCAAATTTTATCGTCAGTAAAGCTATTCAGTGATCTGACGAATTAGATGTTTACAGAAAAGCTTTTGTCTTCACATTTCACTGATATTCTTGTACTGTTTTGCATTTAATAGAAGTAATGAGGCTAGAAAAATTGTATGCAGCCAAATGGATTTACGATCTATTCAAAAGTAGGTTCATGTGTATATTTATTTATTTATTGCAGCTATTAAAAGTGAATGGAATATCAGGTCAAGTTTTGAAACTGCGAATGATATTTGGTTAACAGTGTAGATGAGAACATACAATCAGGCATTGTCTGCAATGAGTGAAGCTGATTGGACACAGTGTGGATAAGAGAAGACAAACTACAGTCTGAATTGTTCAAAATGGATAACATCAGGCATGATGATGTGTCATGAGGCAATATGTTTTGCGACAATTGCACAAAACTGGTGTGCAATTTGCAGATGTATGTGTTTTCCAAGTATTGGCTACAGATGTGTCCATATTACCACGCCAACACAAATACAAATCTACGTGGGATGTGCCACAACACACTGCACAGAAGTTGATCTACGACATTCGCATGAATAAATAGTTCAGCAGGTTGGTTGAATGGATGTGCTTGTTTCTTTGTGGATCAACAACTAGTGGTTCTCAATATAGAACTGAAGCTACAATGTCACAGGAGGAATGGAATTTCGAAGGGAAACTTCCTTTAGATTTCGAAATGAAAGGCGGTAAATATCATGCGAATCCGAAGTGATGACAACGCCCTGGATGAAATTAAAGTCTGTAGGTACATACGCAGCAAGCAGAATCTAATGTAGATGTAGTGGAAATAAACGGCAACGGAAGAGTATTATTTCAAATAGTGTGTTGTATTGTTTGTTGTATGTAGTGTGTAGTGTTTTTCCGAATAGCACGATGTGTTTTATGAGAGTGAAACGAAATGATGAAATTGATGAATTGTTGTTGTACAGTTTCAATCATTCTTCGTATGGTCAAGTAGTCTAAGGCGTTGAATTTAGGCATCAGTCTGAAACTGACGTCGCATCGAGTCCCACCCACAACATATCTATTATCAATCACACTCATGACACTAACACATCACAGATAATCACGACCATCGCATACACACCACCTCGATCACACAATAACAAATGATCATCATCAACATTAAAAGCAACAACAGTGACAACAACACCACAACCACCACGTCACACTCTCCACATTCTCACTCCGTTCCCTGTCACTTCAACACTTCGTCCAATTCATAACATCGACCAGTCAGACACAGTGTTTTTCTATGTCCCACTCACACATAAAATCGTCTCACTGTATCGAACTACTGCCACGCATGGTAATGATTGACGAGTAGTGAGTGAGTGATTGAATGAGTGGGACAGTGTATGAGTTAGAATGAGAAAGTTTCCATCAATTGTTTTAACCGACTGGTCTGATTTGATGTTGATAGTGAATGTGTATGTGCGTGTGCGTGTGTGGATTGTGCAGTGATGTGAGTCTAGTATTGTCCTGAATAGCACAGTGTGAAATGGAATGTTGATACTGATTAATTACTGTTGTGCTGTGTCGATAAGATTTTGTGTAGTCGAGCAGCATGAAACGTTGGATTGAGGAATCGTTGTGAAATATATCTTCGAAAAAATTCACAGTAAACACAGATGGTGACAAATGCATAAATCACACAAGAACGAAAAACACAATCAAAGAGTTAGAATGTAAACAGCAAAAAACAGCAAATGATATTCAGACTGAAAACTGTGGATAGAAATGATATTCGTGGTGTTGTGATGGTATTCCGACAGCAGACAATGGGTTTTAAGAGTTGTTCAAGACCTATCACTTCAGGCTGTGCTATTTCGTTTACTACCCTACATGTCTGTGCTATACTGTATATGAGCTAAATTGCTATGTAGAGCTGAAGATCCTATATGTGACTGAAGGTTCACCATTGATAATGAGAATAGTTGAGCATGATTACTTTGGCGAGTTTGCTCACTGCTCATACGTAAAGTTGGTTCGCTGGTTAACCGATTTCACTGATACATCTTGCATTTGACTGATACATATTACAATGTGTTGTAAGTTGTGAAACAGATATTTGCAATAGAAATCCCACAGAAATTGAATGAGCGAAATCGGTTGAGCTGTTCAAAAGTTATGTTGACTTGTGTTTTGAGGTAATTGTCTGTCTCTCTCTCATCTTTTCCCATGAAAATATTTCAAAACGTTTTTTGCGAGCGACAATTTTTTTACCGCTTTAAAATTTATTGAATTTTATTTTAGAATACACAAATTAATTTGTTGCCCGATTTACGTACCATATGCTAAACAGACAGTGATTTAATTGCTTTAATACATTTAATCTTCGTTCAGGAATTGGTTTCCCATAATCTAAGTGAAGTGTGCAAACCAGTCACTACAACCGAAAACCTTACAAGGACCCAGGTGATTCGGTTTCAGTTTCGGTTGTTAATTCTAATACAAATGAGTGCATTCTAGATCACACAGTGTCTCCATCTAATACACAGTCGGTCAGACACATGATGAACCTGAGTTAAAGAAGTATAGTCGATTCCAGAAATTTGAATTTCCATTCAACATGTGATAGTTGTGGTCTTTTTTACGGACTAATGATTCCTTTGTACTTGATGACCTGTTGATTACATATATAAAATATAACTTGTTCATTTGTGCTTATTTTCCTTTTTTATAAGAAATATTAACCCTCATGACTATCGAATTCGTGCTCATGTGATTATGAAACGATCAGCGGTCAAATCAGATAGGAATCCGTAAGTTCACTAGATGGTATTCTATTTTGTAATATGAGTTGTGATTGGAAGTATGTACAACATCACTATCAGTATATAAAAAGATCACAGAGGCTCTGGCTGTGAGGCAGGGTAGTTCAGGGCGAAAAGTGATGTGGCCGTGATTTAGATAATATATTATAAACAGTAACATCATGATCAGTCGTTTACATTATAATAGATCTATAAACCTAAAAGCATTGATAACTTACAATGGAAATCAATGTAGTAGATTCAAGAAATGTAAATCTTTGAAATCCTGCTTCACTCAATTTTGTAGAGTTTAAGGAAATCTTAACCTGGTATTGTCGTTAACACCTTATTGCGATTTTAGTATTGTTGATACCAGGACTCAAATTTCTCAAATACAGGCCTCACTTGCTTGATCAGTACGTTTGAACTAAAAACGCAGTCTTATGTGGTAAGATCACATTTTAGTTTACCTTAAAATCCCCCTTTTACAAATAGAACGTCAAACTCGATGTTCAGCTTTCTCGATTATGTTTCGAAAGTTTCTCTGCTAGTTCAGGTAACGTTTTCTATTTTGCCTGTTTGTTTATTACTTGACATGTTATACTTAACTGACGAGTCCCTAAATTGTTTTTGCCTGCGAAATAACAACCAATCTCACAAAGTATTTTTACATCTCCAAACTGCATTTATCCCTTCTATATAAAAAAAGATTTGGTAACAGCATACTTTACACAATCAAAATGACCATGGACCACAACTGAATTTGCAGGAAGAGTTTACCATTCTAGAATAAACATGACAGTAAGAATTCTTTCAATCATTCCCCTACACTACTTTCACAAAACAAAAATTTGACGAAGGATCTACAAGAAGTCAAATTCAAACTAATAAAACGCTTTCAAACAACATAAAATGTTATAGTGAATAATCCAAGTAATGACACTTGAAATGTAATCTCCTGCATAGGACCAGTTTCTTAAATTTTTCATAAAATATGTCAAACCTTGTGTTACCAATTGTAGGACCACAAAATGGATTTTACGTCCAATTTCCGTCATGAAGTAAGAATCTTCGAAGTAGTTCAAATGCGATGATCTTGAATGCGACAAATATCTAATTTCTATCCTTTCACTAAATCTGCAGTTTTGTTACCATGGTTTATACTCTCCTAATTTTGAGGTATTCTAAAGAATATTAGTAATTTACAGCATCAGTTCATCAAATAATACAGCGACTACTATTTTCTGATACATGATAAAAAGTATCATTCAATCACCAATTTGCAGTAAATTAATGAGTAAACTAACCAAATTCATAGTGAGTAGTAACAAAACAATATCGTAGCCTCTTCAAGATCATCTGACCCTAAGTTTTATTTTGTTCAGTGTAGCAATGAACTATGATGAAGATTCCATTGAGCCGGTAAAAAGATATATCTAGTATAAATATCAGATTGTAGGCACCATTTAAACAGACCTCAATTATTTATTGTTATAAACTTTAAAAAAAATTGTCAACCACACATGAATAGTGAATGAGAATAGAATCGTGCACCTCTAAAATGTTTTGAATATTCATTCACTCTTATTTTGCCTGAATGAAATTTATGTGCTGGAAGTTCTGGACGTAAATATTTACATGAATTAAATTATCACACACCGTCCGTTTGAACAAGAATGTCGATGTTGCTTGAGATTTTTGTTGGGATCATCTGAACAATCGTCATCGGTCTTCATTTCATGAGCTCCTGGAATGAAACATTTAATTTCTGTTATAGGTAAAAATTATGAAAGTCAAGACCTTGAAATGTATGTGACTAGTTAGCATCAGCCAAAAACATACTTATTATTTTACATGACAAACAGGCTCCCAAATGCCATGGTATGTTTGAGAGTAGGGTGGGCCCGCCCTCCCTCTCGAAACGCTCTTACACAGCCACGCGTATACAACCTCTGTCAGGGAAGTTCTACTAACTGCCTTCTTGTGGCGGGGGTGTTGTTTACGAAAATGAGAGTACAAAAAGCGAATGTTCGGTGCTTTAACCGGGTCCTAAACCAATGGTGAACATGGTCTCCGGTATCCTGAAGGAATAAATGGCGCATGAACCAATCGTTGGTCACCAGCTACCATGAGAATGCATCTCCTCACGATGCTCCTCTGCCTTGTGGATCAGGCCTTTAGGTCAAAGGCTCGGGCTGTGGCCTCCTAAGAAAATTACCTGATTCGGTCTGGGCACCTGGGCAGCATCACAGCCAAACACACACAAATATGGTGTGGCCGCATATATATTTGGTGCCCTCTTGTACTAATCTTTATGTGTTCAAATAAATAATAATAATAATGACAAACAGGATGGAACTGGATTATTCTTAATTTTGACGACTTATTATGTTTTGCAGGTTACATGTAGTGTGACAGAACCTAATAAATAAATAAATCTGAAGAATTATATGAATGTCATCAATTTGTAGTTCAAATCACTTCAATATATAGAACCGTTTTACATTGATCTGCTCCTACACTCCGCCTGTAGCTCTTCCAGAGTTACTGCTGGTCCCAAGCCCGGGTAAAGGAGGAGGGTAAGTAAGCTCCTACATGAATGAACTTAACACAATAAAAGGTTGTCGATTCAAATCCCATAGTGGTAGAGCTAGTAAGAGTATAAGCAGTAATAGGTAAGATTAGATTTTGAAAATGTTATATACTTTATTTCCTCAAGTTCATCATGTGTCTGACCGACTGTGTATTAGATGTAGACACTATGTGATCTAAAATGTACTTATTAGTTTTAGAATTAACAACCGAAACTGGAAAAGATTCACCTGGTTCCTGAAATCGTATTTATTTTCATTTTGGTAGTGTGTACTTAGAAGATTGATATCTAGAATTCAAACCATATATTTTCGAACATTATGCTCTTTCATGAAATAATGTTAGATCTTCATTTCTTCAAGCTACAAATAATATGGCTTTATTTAAAGTATATTTTTCACATCGACTAGAGGATCCATTGAAAGTAACTTCATGGTGAAAATAAACAATATTTGATATGAGATTATGTGAACTATAAGTTGGTTTAAATTCACTCAGAATTTGTACTTCATATAGATTGAATTTCCCATCAGAAACAAATACGTTATGAGGACAAATAACATTTAATATGAAATCTCAACAGTTGAAATCATGAGTCAATTAAAGCTAGACCACCATGGTAAACCTAGAGGCACTGGACAGCTGTTTCGTCCTATTGTGAGACTCCTCAGCAGTGCGCATCCACGACCCCGACTCGCGGTATTCGAACTCAGGACTTAGCTTCAATTGACTCATGATCTCAACTGTTGAAACTACTAAAATCTCCACAAAACCCCTCCTGATACTATTATGAAATCATTAGGATTTAATTTTCCTGAAATATTTTCCTCGAATTTATTGTAATATCATTAGAGAATAATGTATCATTGGACAAATCGGTATCTATTAAAATTGCATCGGATTTCGGATCATTATTTGGTCCATTCAATATATTTTTCTCATTTTTACAGGACATTTCACCAGAAATATGTGAATCATCAGAGCAAAAGAGATCTGGTAAGATCACATGAGAAATCCAACAAGACGTTGATCTCGATAGATTAATGAGAAGATGGAGTTGATCTGATCTCATCGTTCTATCGAAATTTATAAAAGGGACTAACTGCTTCAAAGAAGAAGCTTTTATCTCACAACTCTTCAATGAATTATTATCTGCATGATCTTGAGCATGCATTGGATTAGGAAAGCTAAGTAATATAGTAAAATCCTGAATGTCTCGGAGAATCACATTATGAAAATTTTCGCCTTCATGGCATTCGAAATTAGTACACATTACATGATTCAGTAGTAGTTAATTGAGAGTTACATAAGGAAGTGGAATAGGCTTAACTGGGAATGCCAAAGTTTCTTATAAACTGTAAGCATCCTTTCCAATAAATGTGAGGAAATTAGAGAGAAGTTTATAATCCCTAACATGATTCCTGGTCATATTCCAGATTTTTAAATATTTCCATGTAATCTTCGAAAGCTTCAGAATTTGAATGTGGATCAAGCTGTCCAATCACGGGCTCCATTGCGACGTCAATATGATAATTAGATGTATTTCAATTATTGTACTAACTTAAAATTCCCGAAGTAGTGCAATTTAAGGCAGGTATAACTAGATGAGCACAAATGAACTTATTGTATTCGGAATTTGTAATCAGCTTTCCATCGGTTACAGAGGAATTACTAGTTTGTAAAAGTACCAAAAGTATTTGAAATTCTAAACTTGACCATGAATACATGTCCGTATAGGGTTAATTAATTAACACATTAACATTGTTTAAAGTATTTGTATAAGTGAGTTATCTGTCGTTTACATTATTGGTTGTCAATGTATATAAGTGACTACAATGAGTTAGTTAACTCTATTTTACCAGCAGATAATGATTAGTCTCATCACAAAATTTTGTTTTACTAATTAACTGTAATTTATAACTTTACTATTTCAACATGGTGTTATGTCTACAAAACAAGTCATGCAAATTACTCTTCAATCATTGTCTTTAGCACTATAAGTAAACATTCGATAATATTCAATGAATCGTGAATTTTTTAAAGTTAGACATTAACGCCGTTAGACACCGGATCAGTGTTTTAAATATTAAGCGTTCGCACTCGAGACTGACAGGTGTTGGGTTTGAATCTCGTGAGGCATAGATCGTAGATGCGTACTTCTGAGTAGTCTCATACTAGGACTAAAAGGTCGTCCAATGAGTCCAGGTTTTCCATGATAGTGTCTACTTTCAATTGACTCATAAAGTCAACTATAAAATTGCTAAGATCTCCACGAAATCCTTTTTGATAAGAATCATCGTAGGCTCATTAGTGACTGGCTTCAATAGGTATTTCCTGGAGTCCTAGTGAGAAGCAGTGACTAATAGAATTCAACCAGGTCTGTTGTGAGATAGTAATTGACTGAAGACAATGGTGGACGGTGGATCAATTTCGTGGATTGGTTGAACTTAGACATTAGCGCCGTTGGATGCCAGTCGGCTCAGTGATCTAAAGGTTGAGCGTTCGTGCTCGAGACTGATTGGTCCTGGGTTCGAACCTCGTGAGGCATAGACCGTGGATGCGCACTTTTGAGGAGTCCCATACTAGGACTAAAATGTCGTCCAACGCTTCCAGGTTTTCCATGATGGTGTCTAGCTTCAAGTGACTCATAAATTCAATTGTTGAATCAAACATTATCGAAAAATTCCTCAAGCTCTCTATGAGCTTTAAACAATACAACATCATATCAATAAGCTAGAAAAAATCTCATATTTCTCTTAATTTACCTTCTCTTCTTGGTAGAACATTGTCTTGAAATTGTGTAGTTTTGTTACCAGCCGGTAAATAATGTCCAACAACGAAAATTATATTACCTATTTCTGATTTAGTAAAACCGAATCCAACTTTTTTCGTTTTTTTCCAGATCATTTGAGTAAAATAACCTGAAATAAAATATTGATTCAATTTATTAATTCGACTATATGCTGGGCATCAATTAATCCATCTACTACCTTGTTATCGAAGTCATAACAATCTACTTTTCTACTCAAATGCCCTGTTACGGCCAGGAGTGGAGAGAGTCAGATCTTTCTCTCCAAATGATCTCATATGGCCACATGCATAAGAGCACAGCGCAATGACACACATGGACTCCAGACTCCTGAGGAAACAAATGGCGTATGAACCAATCGTCGGTCACCGGCTACCATGGTACTGCATCTCTTTACGTTGCTCCACTGCCTTTTGGATCAAACTTTTAGATCAAAGGCTCTGGGTGTGGCTCCCTAAGAAAACCATCTGATTCGGTTTAGGCACGCGGGAAGTATCTAAGCCCTTACACATATTGAGTAACTTGTGTGGCGCGTATTTATTTGGTGCCACTTAGTATCAGTATTTAGGTGTCCAAATAAATAAATAGTAAGTAAAATTGTGACCAAAGATGATTTGTTTGTTCTAGTCTCCACCTTAACAAAATGCATTTTCTCAAAGGAATACTCAAAGTCATAGTAGTAATTCTATATACAGTAGCTACTGACTTGATGCAATAATTCTCGATCAAATCAGGATTTGTGTGTTAGATCTACTCCTGCTAAGAACAGAATATTCATGTTCCGCTTTACCATAAGTGAAACTAGGAGTAATTTAGAGTATTATCAAATTGAGTCTGCATATTTATTGAACATCCTATTTACGATTGTCTATATATTTGATGCATTTATAATTTTTGTGTAATCGATCACCAACTGTGTAGAAAAACGTTTTGAAGTGGATTTAAAATATGTGAATGATGTGAAACTGCAATACCATTATGGTGTGTGCTACTGATCTCGACAGATGTAAGTAGTATGTATAATCAATCGGAAGTAAAATGTTTGGTGGTAGGAGGTTATGAAGAACAAAGAGAAGAGAACGAGAACAGAGAGTGATTGGTGTGGAAACGAAGTTACAGTCAAATCTGAGACAATTGATTAAACGTTTGCAAATGAAGTGTTTACTGTATGATTCTCAGATTTTACTAAGTTGTTCTGTCATTTTGTGTGTTCAAATAGATTCGATTGTAATCAGATAGGGGTTTTGTGGAAATTATAGTAATTTTAATAGTCAATTGAAGGTAGACCACCATTGAAAACCTGGGATCACATGACGGCTGTTTCACCCTACTGTGGGACTTCTCAACAGACAAAAAGGTAAGCCTATATAATTCCTACTAAACCGAATAATGATAAAATGAACAGAAGTTTTATTTAAATGTATCTATGAAATCACTAGAAATTCAACCATTTTCGAAACTACTATATAGAATTAAATAGATGAAATATTTTCACATACTGATGAGAAGACGTAACCAGTGGAGCTAATTCATGTCGGGGAGAAACAGGTTTCTACCTAAATAATGGAAGATAGTCGCGCAATTTCGTGGATTGGTTGAGGTTAGACATTAACACCACTGGATGCCGGCTCAGTGGTCCAGTAGGTTAAGCGTTCGCGCACAAGACTGAAGGCCATGGGTTAGGATCCCGCGAGTGGGATCATGGATACGCACTGCTGAGGAGTCCCACAATAAGACGAAATAGCCATTCAGTGCTTCCTGGTTTTCAGTGGTGATCTAACATCAATCGGTTCATGACCTCAGTCAAAAACTTAACAATCTCCATAACCCACAAACTGTTACTTATAAGTAGTAAGAGAAAACAGAACAATGAATTTATAAACAATGATGGATGGTGGCTAACAGTGGAATACAGGAAACCCGTTTCGTCCTATTCGAGACTTAAGGTAATATTGAGGCAGTTCGTACAGGATGCATATATGCCAACAACAGACTGATTGATTACAGCCCTAAACTACAATGGGAAGATAAAAGCAAGCAACATCAATATCAGAACTCAGTAGCTAAGTGGATAACACAATGGAGATTGAAGTGAACAGTATTGAGTTCCAGTGCCAGAGTGAACATCAACTCTGAAATGAAGATATATTCAGCTGGTATAATCCCAAATAGGATGAAACACGCGTTAAACTGGATTCCACTGCTAACCATCACCAAGTCAATTAAGAACAATAACTTGCCTTTATTCTCTTGATTATCTTCATTGTAGTCATAATTCTCTGATTGTTTATACCATGCTCGTATCGCATTCAGTCCTGAAATTTTTTTATATTATAAAAAAACATACATTAGTAATTATCTATTAGACATTTCCTGTATGTTTCCGTAAAGAAATTCAGATCTAGTGTATGCTACTCATATCGGCATGAGTAGTATGTAACACTAATCGGAAGTGGAATGTCAGCAACATTATAATTCATGAATGAACCAATGAAATATAAGATAATAAGCCTTGGATTTTGGCGCGGAATCTATTCACCCACTTAGCTAAATAGAGTTTTGGCAGGTCGTGATGAAAATCCTAAATCTGACTCTTAACCTTAACCATCAACTGTAAATCATAATTCTAATTCCACAAACAGGTTTATAGCTCTCATTTGGTCCTGGCTATTAGGTGGACACTCTCAAGGTCAGTCTAGCGTTGCTCAGAGGTCGTCCATAAACTATAGTTTCACCGGAATGTTTAGCAGCAAGAAATTGAGAAAATCGAATCGAAGAGAACGGCAATAGAGAGTTATTGTTATAGCAATGAAGGAACAATGAAGTTTGAGATAATTGATGAAGGATTTGCAAATGAAAGAACTTTGTAATTTTAGTTTAAAATACGTTCGGTTTCCTTCACCTATGTTCTCGTTCATTTCAATGGAAGCATTAGTAAACAAAATGTAGTACAATTAGTTTGTCAAGATTATGTGAAATGTTAAGGAGTTCAATTGATTAGTCTCTATTATCTAATGTATATCATTAGACAATTACATCAAAATCTCTATTTATTCATAAGAGTTTTAAAGCTTAGTTGTTGTGGTGTTTGTATGAACTAACGATTCGTTTGTACTTGTTGAATGCTTGGTTTTGAATTCCAAATACAGTATATTCGTTCATGCTTATCTAATACTTCTTGATTCAACTGAGTTATTTCTGGGATTCTTAGTTTGTATTATAATTCAAATACCCATAATCATAACATTGGCGTCGCGATGAAGCCTGTGATGGAATGGTTGGACTTACATTCAGATGCTGATGCTTTTAAAGATTACTCCCAAAGGCTCGAAATCTGGTCTATGATCAAGGAAGATGTTGAAGATGTTAATATTATAGCACATTTCCCCACATTAATCGGCGAAGACGAATACAACTCTGGCTTTACCAGAAAAGCCTATTTCGCTTTCTTATGCAACTGTCAAGGAACTACTGCTAGACTTTGTTAATTATACAAATTTCAAATGTGGTAAAGGAAGATTTCGTAAAATGATTCATGAGGATATCAAAAATTCCCCTACATTACTACGTCATCCCAATCCCGTCAGTACTCAAGGTCATGCCGATAATTTATTTGAGGAGTCGCGATGCAGTTCACAAAGTTGGGCACAAGTCTTAGCCAATATTTGTCCTGTAGCATGTATATTTCATGTATATTTCATACTTTTAAATGTTTCAAATATGGTGAGATTGGACACATTTAGTCAGTTTGTAATGCTACTGTTCATCTTGCTGCAACTAATGCTAAAATTTGTAATTGTGATCCTATTAAATTGGATATTTGTAATGATCATTTATCTTTATCCAAAAATTCAAAAAGCGTTATAGAGTCACATAGAAGTTCAGAGTTAAATGAAACTCAGAATCATTGTGAAACAAAAGTTTCTAATCAACTAAAGTCTTTCCAGATTTCTCATGTTATTATACCAGATATGATTTTTCCTAATGATTCACATATTTCTGATGAAATTTCTTATAAATCTGAGGAAAGTACGTTGAATGAATCAAATCATGATCGAAAACTTGATGCAGTTTTGATAGATGCTGATTCATGACTCTCTAATGACATAATAAATTTCAAGAAAAGATTTCAGAAGTATCAAATCTTGATGTCATATCATATACTACTAATCCTCATGATACATTTGCTTCTTGTGGGAAACTTGTTCATTGTGAAGCACAAGTCCTAAATGAGCTTGATTTTGATTATAATTTGGATGATTGCATATCAACTGCTGTTTATCCTTAACATGAAGTCACTTCTAATAATAGTCAGTGTGAGGAATATATTTTAAATAAAGCCACATCATTCATAACTTGAGGATAAGAAGATCTAACATTATTTCGTGAAGAAGGATAGTTTTGAAAAATCTATGGTTCAAATTCTAGATATTAGTGGTTTCAGTACACAACTGACATGATGATTGTATACAATTCCAGGAAGCAGGTGAAGTTAGTTCCAATTGCAGTTGTTAATCCTAATACTAATGACTGCATTCTACATCATACAGAGTCTACATCCAAAGCACAGTCGAATTGGAGCAGAATGAACATAAGGAAAGGACATAAATCGATTACAGAAACTTGGACTTCAATTTAAGCTTTGGCGGATATGGTGTTTGTATGAAATAAAGATTCCTTTGTACTTGTTGAATGCTTGATTTCGAATTCCAAACACAATACATTCGTTCGTGCTTATCTCTTACTTCTTTATTCAATTTAGTTATTTCTGGGATTCTTAGTTTGTATTATAATTCAAATATTCATAATTATCATAGTTCTATAGTAGTTAATAGTTGAATTCAAAAGGCATATTTCATTCAACTTGACTTTCATCAGCTGAATAGACAAGATCTTTGAATCTCATTTAATCAATTTTGAATTAAAACTTCAGATGTTTTCTTTGAAGATGAATAAACCAAAGACAACTACTTACTATTAATAAAATATTCTCAATATACATCATCAAAGTAAAAAAAATTTGTTTTTAAAGTAAGATCTATGACAACATATCAATTCTATAGTTTTCAATACGATAATTCCAGTAGAAAATTTGAAGCGAAATAATCTTCAAGTAGATCAACACTTTAACATAACACACTATGCTGATCATATCATTCAGTAGAACGATGAAAACTCCATAATTAAATTGTTCAGCTCAGAGAACAAAACTTCATCAAAACAATAATAATGTAGTAACAATGTAGTGAACAGAACATGGGTGGAGACAATCGAATGTTAATAAAATCTAACAATCATAAATGCAAAATGTCCATCAGTTGTCTCAAAATGACTCAGACTTCATTCTAACACCTGTGCTCCACTGGCCTGCTCAGCCATCTACATCCGATGCCCGCCCAGCAGCCGCACATCACACTGCTCCTCTCCGTCGACAGCATCTGCTACAGCCAACGCCGCCTCTTCAGAACGCTCCACTCGACGCTACCTCTCTGCACCAAACTGCCCCAACTAGCACCCCAGCTCCAGGCCCGCAACGGCGTTCGCAGAACATCACCCTTCCTCTCCTGGATGGCAGAGACACCGCAGGTAGTGAACAGAACACCGGTGGAGAAAATCGGATGTATTTAACACAAAATTACAGAACTTACTAATAAAATCTAGCAATGATAAAGTAAATGCTTAATTTGCAAAATGTCTACCAATTGTCTCAAATGACTCAGACTTCATTGTTCTTACATTTTCATACAAACTGCATTCTGTTACCATTCGTTACTGTTCGATCCTCTTGTCTCGCTGCTGCTAGACCTCTTGTTCACGACTAACATCATATACTACTTATGTCAATATAAGTAGCACACATCACAACAACAGAAGCATTTGAAGCAATATCAAACTTAATGTTTAATTACTAAATCTATACTTCAAAGTACATATCAACGACAAACGTTTTTTTTTTATTTTTCAAGGTCATTTTATCGACCACTATAGTACTTACAAATGATAAATTCCATATCGATGCATCGAAAATTTCTTATTTCAATTATATTTACAGTCATTATGATACAACTGAGAAGATCATAATTGATTAAACTGAATAATTTAAAGCTGCTTAACAGATGATTTTTACTAGAACATAAACAGTTTAGATTAATTATCAGAAAAGGAGTGGTTTTGTGGAGACTTTTAGTAATTTAACAGTTGAATTTATGTGTTGATTAAAGCTAGACCATCAGAGAAAACCTGGAAGCAATGGATAACCATTTCGTCCTAGTACGGGTCTCCCCAGCAGTGCATATCTATGACCCCACTCATGTGGTGGATTCGAATCTCGAGAATGGGATCGTGAGTGCTCATTGCTAAAGGGTCCCATCCTGGGAAGAAATGTCCATTCAGTGCTTTCAGGTTTTCCATGATGGTCTAGCTTTAATTGACTAATGAATTCAGCTACTAAATTTAGAATAGAGCAATTCGTTGTAACAAAAAAAATGAAGTGTTTACCACGCTTTATGTTGACTAACTTTTTTTCACCTATTTCAATTTCAATGCTACATTGCTTTACACAAATTATATTACAATTCTATTTGACTGTGAGTTAGGTTTAAGGCTACTACTAAACTTTGAAAAATATATCGTTCAAAATTTAACTTAATTACACAGAAATAAGGTTGTGTTATGTAATATTATAGATAGAGATAAGTTAGAAATGTTAGCCATTAGGCGCCGATTCATTGGTTAAAGGTTAAGCGTATGTTATGGGACCTGAAGGTTCGCGGTCCAATCCCCGTATAGGCTATTGATGCCGAATTTCGAAAAGTCTCATATTAGAACTAAACAACTATCCAATACGTTTCAATAATTGGGCCTTGTGTTACGTATACCTGAACACCGTCTACTATGACTTACAATGCTGACTAGTGTTGGAGACGGTTGGGAGAAAGTTAGGGGTGGTCATACCAAAACATGGCATCGGTGCTTGAAGTCACTAACTTTCAGTCTGAGACATGTCGGTAGATACAGACTACTTGGCTGTGGTTCGTGTGACTATCATAGCCAATTGTTGAGGACTCTTGATGACATTGCTTAGAATCGATCACAATAGCGTAGGTGTACACACTCTCGATCTTCCCTTAAACCATGAGATTAAAATCATTTTATACCTTTCTTTCTACGAACCTATTCTTACTCCCTGTATCATAACCTTATATGCAATTTTTTTTAAAAATATATTACTATCACTGAAGTGGCTAATATATAATATACCCTTGTGTGCCAGAATAATTTAACATTGGTTTTGAGGAGAACTAGACACAATCCAGACTTTCACATAACAACCCAAGCAGTATAGCTCAATCCTGTTTAATAGGAGAGCCAAACACCGCTCAAGCTTAAAATTTGTAGCTAAAACAGTAGAGACCGATCCCGTTTCCGGGAGGACCAGACACCATTCAAGCTTAAATTTTATAACCCGATGAGTAAAGCTAAATCCTGCTTCACAACAGAACCAGACACCGTATACACTTTGACAGTACAATCTGAATAAAACAATTCATTTCTTTGGCGCAAACTCACAGGTACCGAGCACCCTGGTCGACCATTCACAATATTCATATACACGTCCACATTACGTGCATAATTATTCCGATCAATGATCGAGTAAATTAGTCATGCCTACCATGAACAGGCCAAAGTTGAACTATTCCGCCTACACAATAGTCAAACTCATTAATGTTAGCAATAGCAACATGCCTTGCAATGTCTCAATGACAATGACCCTTGAAAACACTGAAAAGTAACCACTAGTATGAATGAAATTGGTGAACAAGCAAACTAATTTTGTGCACGAACAGTTAATAAAACTTGTCAACGTAATGCTAAACCATCTACAATATTAATGTCAAACCTTCAGTCTCATATGAGATATTCAACTCTACGTTAGCAATATAGTTTATAGCTATTGAAATAACTACATCTATAAATTTGGTGTTTATCTTGTTATACTAATAATAAATAAAAATTTGAACCGATAAATATATGTATCTAGTCCTACATTGAAGCTAACTGACTAACTGAATGATTATCTATAATGGTAATCATCAGAAGGGGTTTTGTGGAGATTTCTTGAAATTTCATTGATTGAAGTCATGAGCCAATTGAAGCTAGACCACCATGGAAAACTTGGAAGCACTGGATGGCCGTTTCGTCCAAGTATGGGACTCCTCAACAGTGCGCATCCACGATCGCGCACCCCGCGAAATTCGAACTAGGGACCTATCGGTCTTGCGAGACCGAAACTAAGGAGTCCCATACTAGGACGAAACGGCCGTCCAGTGCTTCCAGGTCTTCCATAGTGGTCTAGCTTCAATTGACTCATGATTTCAATCAGTCTAATGGTAATCATCAAAATTCAGCAATCTTCAATAATCTATCGTAAAAGCCAAACAAACTTACCTGCAACTTGACAATTTTGCTGACCAATTATTAAAGCCATATTTTGACCACATATAAAATGATCAATTTTTTGTAATTGATGTAATTTTTGTAAATATTCCGAATGAATTTGTGCAGATTTTATTAAACGATAATTTAATTTCAATTTAGGACAATTATGTAATTGTCTTAATCTAATATATAAATAAACAAAGAAAAGAAACAAAAAAAACTCTTGCAATTTGAATTCTGGATTGTCATGAAGTTTTAGGCGGCTATTTTTGTCTTATTTAAAACTTGTCAATTGAAGTAGCTTAGGGTTTGTTAGATCTATCAAAGAGTCCAAGTGACCCGATTGAGATACGCGAGAAACCGAAGTTCCAAATCAATGATTTGTCTACAACAACCGGTCTTTATTGAATAATACACAAAATTTAGTTGCAAACCTCAACTTGTGAAGTATCTGGGGCGTTTAAACGCGTCCCTCATGTATGAAAATAAACAAGGCTTCCTGTAAGAGTAACATAATGAATAATTACAACATACGATAGTACAAAGGACAACTAATAACTGTGTCTAAATTTGATAACAGTTTATGAACAATTAGTCCCTTTGATAAATTTCGATAATGATATTAGAAGACGAAGATTATCAGAACTATGTGATTGAAACAACGACTTAAATCAGTCATCAATAAAACCTAGTGCGCAGCCAAGGTCATCATCAAAGAAAGAACAAGGTGTATGCTTCATTCAAAACCTAAAGTACATGAAAACGATTGCGTCACATCCCACTGTGTTTACCAATTTAAATGTGTGTGTGGTCACACATACATAGGGAGGAGTAATCGTGATCTCAACATTAGGGTGAGTGAACATGTATCCAAATGGCTTCAGAAACAAATACAATCGAGTGATCCAATAAGAGCAGAGGATAAACATCCATCATCCTCTATTGCTAAACATACAATTGAAACAGGTCACAAGATTGATCTAAATTCAGCTTTTGTAGTGCTGTATAAAAGTGTAAAAGGGCCATACGAAAATTCTGACCCTCTTTGTGTGTTCAAAAACAGTTTGGTCTTACCTTAAACCTACCCTGGTAATATTGACTTATTATCCAGAGTGATTAGGTTTCAAATTGTGTTCACATTATTATTATTACTCTTATCATTATCCTTATCTCCTCTTACCCCGTTTCCTGTCTAGTTGACCTTTTATTTTTTATATATAAATGCTCTTAACAAGTATATGTGTGACCAGATTGTTCGAAATGTATTGCGCTAATATATCACATAGTTCTGATAATCTTCGTCTTCTAATATCATTATCGAAGTTTATGAACAACCGAAGCGCGAACCAAGAGCAAAACAATATGGAAGCTGTTGCGTTTAAACAAATACACAAAACTGTGGATAACCGCTATAGTGATTAATGTACAGTTATTATAATAATAAATACAATGATAAGTACAATGAACGTTTTAAGTACGTGTGAACATTTCAGAACATTACACTACGACTTGCGTTACAACATAAGTTTGAAAATTGTTGAGAATACAACTGCTTACTGAATGTAAATAAGTAGTAATAGTAGTACAAAACCCACCATTTACTTTCCCAATCATGGAAACGTTACCATTGAGCCACTAGAGCAGTTACTGACCTGTCGTAGGATTAAGTTGTGTTCATTAACTGATCAGTTAGTAGTAACGAGTATCATGTTTGTCTAACTCTTCTTCTCAAATAAACCATATTGAATCATTTTCAATGTGATCTAAGTGATTGTCATCATGGTAGGTTAAGGTAATCAACTAGGGGCATCAAAGATTCTAATTTACTTCAAAGAAATACTTATAGTCTCATGCATCATTGAGTTAGGGATTTACTAAGAGTCTATGCCTTACAAAATAGTTTTACTCATGAAATCTACTTATACATCTATATCAACGTAGGACCTCCGGTCTCGCCAGCGAATGCTTAACTTCTAGACCACTGAGCTGGCATCCAACGGTGTTAATGTTTAACTCCAAACAATCCACGAAATCGCGGGACCATTTTCCAATGTTTGAGTAGATACCTGACTCTACCTAACACGGATTGGCTCCACTGATCAAGGCTTCTGATTAGAACATTGATAACATTTCATCTAATCACTACAAGTAGCACAAATGTCTCGAAAATTTTTGAACTATATACTCTGATTAAATGATGACTTACCCTATTACTAAGTGTACCATACTTCAACAAGCTTCTGCAGGTCAAACGTTACCAACGAACTTATAAGTACCCTTGTTTTCTACACATAAATAAATCCCGATGAGAAGCTTCTTTTCTTACGTCGTCACTTTCCCCTACCATTCAGGGTTCAAGGAAGCGCTCAAGAAGTCATTATCAAGCATTTCATTTGTAGACTTAAAAAGTTATCTAAATAAAAAGACAACCTGTAATTGTGCGAAACAGTCCAAATTAGTTTACGTGGATTGTCTACGATTGACAGATAATCAAATCAGATAAATTTAATCAAAACAAATCATACAATTAAACTGAAAGTTAAGTTCAATCGCAAAGCAACTAATCATTATGTGAACCATTTGTTAAGATTAAAATGACCAAGTATAAATAAACGATTCTAATAATTGAAGGTCTTATAATAAACACAGACACAAAGAATAATTTACTCTGAAGCATCAAATGAACTTTTGAGTTTATGTAAACGAAAGCCTCAAGTGTTTGGGCACAGAATATTCAACAGGTATACAAAAAGTGTTTATGTCAATGGGATGTTAATATGCCGTCTTCTTTTTTCACCTCAGTAGGAATGTTTGTATCTTTTGATTTAAATCATGATAGTGTTTTGCATCTAGTAAATGATTAGTGCAAATTCACTTGGTATTGTTTCACTTGTATCTTCCCATTGATGTTTAGGATTGCAATTGGTCAGTCTCTTATTGGCATATGTACATACCATGCGTATTGTTTCTATGAGAAGATTCAATTAGAACGATAGCAGGTCAATTTAAACTTCACACATCGAACAAGCGAGCGACTATCAGGACTCAGTAGCTAAGTGGATTAAGAGTTGACGCTTGAAGCGAACGGTACTGGGTTCGAGTCCCAGAGTGAACATCAACCCTAAGATGTGGGTAAGTCCAGCTGACGAGTCCTAAATAGGACGAAACGCGCATCAAACTGGATTCCACTGCTAACCACTATCCGTCTTTGCTTATAATGGTTAGTGTAAATGTTTACAGTACATTAATACTGACATAAAATGTTGTGATAAGTGGAAACGATCAACAAAGATAGAAGAAACTCGAATTTATTATCTTCCCATGAGAAACTGATGATTATCAATAAAGCTACATTAAAATACACTAGATCCAAATATATTCTGAAGTAGGTTAATGGTCTCTATCCATGTACAAGGATAGTATTCTAAACGTTAATAGCTTAAGTATAATGAATACTGAGAAATGATTAAGCAATTTAGTGTTGAATATATCAAAATTTATAGTTTTTCATAAGAATATACATATGTACTTCTCACAGTCATCAAATTCATTAAGAATAACATTGTTTTTAAATTATTTTACTTAAAATACATTGTATGGATCTGAAACATAGAGAACTACTACTACTACAACTAACATCAAAGAAGTACAAGTATTTACAAACAGTTGTTTACGCAAGATACTCAATATGCGTTGGCCAGATACCATCAATATCAACCTACCGCCAGAGCGAACAAACCAACTTCCAACTGAAGAAAATATTAAGAAACCACGTTGAAAGTGCATAAGACATACAATACAAAAATCATCGTGAGGCTGAAGAGGAACGCATGAAAAGAAAGTTGAATAACATTAAACGTCAGAGATTGGAAGCAGATATCAAAAGAATGAATAGCAACTAGAAACAACTGGAACGGATTGTCTAGGACAGAGTTAAATGAAGAATGCTGTTAGGTGGCCTATACTCCTCCACGAGGGGTAACTAGCATAAGTAATGTAATTTAATAATCAACTAAATAACATATTATAATTCAATTAAATCAATCAACTAATCAATCAATCAATAATTACTTACCGATTATTTTCTTTTAAGCATATTTCATTAAAATGATCTAATTCAGTTTTATTAGATTTAATGATTGTTTGATTATCATGTCGATGATCATCAATAACCATGTTGAATAATGAAATGAAAATAAAATTTTATAAAAAATATTCCATTTGGAAATCAACGTAAATTGCTTTTTTCTCTATTTTTCCTTTTTCTCTTTTTTCTTTTTTCTCCTACTAAGTTAATTATAGAAAAAAATAGTAAAGAAGAAAAAAAAGCAAAGAATTCGATGAAAGAATAATTTTCTCTCTTTTTCTGTTTATTTTATTATAGTTTTATTCTACGTACTCACTTTTTCCTTCTTTATTTCGTTTTTTTGTTGTTGTCTGTTTGTTTGTTTGTCTGTCTGCCATTTTTCAAGTATCTTATATAATATGACTCCCTATCGTATTGTAAACCAATCAATTAAAGAATAATTTCCATATGACATAGCAACAGAAACTGACATCAACTAGTTTGTTATTTTTATATATTTTTTTCACTAGAGTACAGTGAGTTAGTACCCTTTTATTGATGATAATTTATTGTTATGAATGAATAAATATAATTTCATTTGTGATTATATATAATACTTACTTTTGTACAAAGAAAACAACAATGATCAAGTGATGGAGTTAGATTAGAACAACAATCTATTTAAATAAATATAGGCAACCCACCAACATTCTATATTCAACTCTATACTGAATGATCTTTTCCAGTTGTTATTCATTCATTTTATTTCTGCTTTCAATTCCCGATGTAGTATGTTCTTTGATCTTCCACTTCTTCGTTTCCCTTCACGATTCCAAGTTAACGCCTGCTTTATGATGAAGTTTCATGATTTCCTCAATGTATGTCCTATCCACTTTCAACACTTTTTCTTAATATCGTCTACAAATGGACGATGGCTTGTTCTCTCCCACAATAGGTTGATGATGGTAGTATCCGGTCAACGGTCATCATACAATTTGACTCCCTTACAAATTGTAAACCAATCAATTAAAGAAGAATTTTTGTATCACATAACAACAAAACAAACTGATATCAACTAGTTTTTGATGTGTTTTTTTTTCACTAAAGTACAATAAGTTAATGCCTTTTATGGATGATAATTTATTGTCGTTAATGAATAAATATAATTTCATTCTTGATTACATAATATTAAGATAGATAGATATAGATAGATAGATTAGTGCAACAGTTTATTTAAATAAACACTGATCATTCTCTAAAAGTATGGATATCTACCTAATAATAATAATAATAATAATAATAATAATAATATATATATATATATATATATATATATCAAATTTCAATTCATCTAAAATTATGAAAGAGGGTTTGTGGAGATTGTAGTGATTTTTATTAATTGAATTCATGAGTCAATTGAAGCTAGACCACAATGGAAAACTTGAATGGCCGTTTCTTTCTAGTATGGGACTTCTCAGTAGTGCAAATCCACGATTCCACCTGTGGGACTTGAACCCAGGACCTACCGATCACGATCACGAACATCTAACCTCTAGACCATTATGCCGGTCGGCATCTAATGGTATTAATATCTAACTTCAAGCAATCCGAGAAATTGAGCCACCTTCTACCATTTTCTTCAGTGTGTTACTATGTCATAACAGACCCGGTTGAACTCCACTGGTGGCGGCTTTTCACTAGAACTCCAGGAAATCCACCTTGGAGCCAGTCACTATTGAGTGCATGATGAGTATTATCATATAGGGGTTTTGTGGAGATTTTAGTTATTTAATAGTTGAATTTATAAATCAGTTGAAGCTATACCACCATTAAAAGTCTGGAATCACTGAACGGCCGTTTCGTCCTAGCATGGGACTCCTCAGCATTGTGCATCCACGATCTAAAATTATTCAATAAAACGATGTAAACAGATTAGTTTAATAAAATGACAATGACGACCAAAGTTAACCTAAACGCTTAGGTTGAAAAATGTTGGATCCTGTGTGCATTTATAACACTGATCTGAGATGATGTCATGACTAAGTGAACGAACAATGATTTAGTTATGCATAACATATTAAGTAGAAAATATTGAATCAATCGTAAAATTTCATCGACTAACTTGTTTAAGAAATTTTTAACCTATGATTAACAACCCCTTTCTATAAATCGTATTAATGATCAACATAGGAGTAAGCTTGAAGTATTCTAACTAAAATTTATAGTATCACTTCATGAAATCATTAATTCCTCAGCTTATCCATGTTGAAAAGTGTATCGTTGACAGTTAAACCGTATACAATAATCATAGTCGGTTGTCGAAGACTGACAAACAGATAAAAAGAAAACAATTACACTGTCACAATTGGATTCGGATTTGAAAAGTCCTCGTGATTTTTTCCGTTTTAATTTGATTCTATATTCTTCACTTTTTGAACTATCTTCTTTGTATTTATTTCACTAAAGCGTATTTCATTCTCATCTTTTAAACATTCCCTTATTGAGTTGACAATGAACTGATGAACATTGTTATCACATCCCAAATTCTTTATTGACTTAATGAATAGTATATATTTTAATGCATAGAAACTACTACAGTTTATTGTCCAATTAAAAATTTAGTCCATGTCCCTCTTTGTCACAAAAGGGAATCGACATATTTTGCATAATCAGTAATCGATTTTCAGTGATCACAAACACATGCTTTACCTAAAGTGCAACATTAAGCAATAAAAACTATGATAAAGCGTTTCATTGAAGCGATTATTTGATAATCTCTCAGAATCTCAAATTCATTTTCTTAACCAGATGATATTTAATTCATGCCAATTGAAAAGAGCAAGACCAAAGAACACACTACGTTAGGAATAGAAAGCAGATAAATAAAAAAAGAATAATAACTACAAACAAATAGAAACGATTACTTAGCATAGAGTTGTATAGAAAATGATGGTAGTCGGCCTATACGCCTACACGAGTGGGGTAACAGGGGTAAATAAGTAATTATAGTTTTGAAATCATCAGAAGTTGGCACCATCATCATCAGTATCAAATTTTGAATGAAATAACTGTATAGTCTTTCTTTAGTTATTCAAAAGTCTTTCAATGGCATGCCAGTGTATGTTTGTGTTATCCCCCAGAAACAAATCTGATTATTTTGTAATTTCTCGTATATATTAGAACTTATAAGTGAATCGGTTTATTTCTTTTGTTAGAAGTTATAAATCACATCAATTTTTATTAAAAAAAAACAAATAAGAAGGGGTTTTGAAGAGGTTTTAGAAATTTCCACTGGTTGAAATCATGAGCCAATTGAAGCTAGACCACCATGGAAAACCTGGAAGCACTGGACGGCCGTTTCATCTGCTCATTAGTCACTGACTCCAAGAGATACTCCTGGAGTTCCAGTGAGAAGCCGTCACCAATGGAGTTCAACCGGGTTTGTTATGACATAGTAACATACTGAAGACAATGGTAGAAGGTGGCTCAACTTCGTGGATTGGTTGAAATCAGACATTAACACCGTTGGATGCCGGCTCAGTGGTTTAGTTGGTTAGGCGCCTGGCGCGAGACTGGTAAATCCTGGGTTCGGATCCCGCGGGGTGTGGGGTCGTGGATGTGCACTGCTGAGGAGTCCCATACTAGAACGAAACGGTCGTCTAGTGCTTCCACTTTTCCATGGTGGTCTAGCTTCAATTGACTCATGATTTCAATCAATGAAAAACAAATAAACAAAAATTAAAGATGAATTCAAAGATTTTCACTAATATCCTTTTTTCAATTATCCATGCCATTAATATCTGCTGATCTCATATGATAGTGTATAAATCATAATAATAGATTTGAAAACACGCCAATAACAAGTGGTAATGAAAAGGTCTCAATATTGATTTTCTAGTTGCTAAGTCATTACGTCTATTTCATAAAAAAATAGTTCGACGATAAATTTCATAATAACTAACAGTAAGATTGTAGTGAAGGAGAACAAACAAGTGAGGACAATTGGGTGTATTTGAACACACCATTACAGAATATCTTAATAAGGTCTGAGAACTGTATAGTTAATAATTCATTTGCAAAATGTCAGTCAATCTTCTAAGACTTCATTGTTCGTTGGTTTCCACAACGACTGCTCTCTGTTCTCGTTCCCTATTCTTCCATTTTCATAACCTTCGGTGACGAGACTATAATTTATGGATGAATCAATCAATAAGATTTACGATAACAAGTCTTAGATTTTGGCGCAAAATTTATTCATCCATTTGGTTAAATAGAATCTTGGCTTTATAACTGACGTCAGTTTGTGATGAAAACCGTAAATCTAATTTCTAACTCTAACCATCAACTGTAAATCATAATCCTTGTCGTTCAAACTACTTTATAGCCCTCATTTAGCCATAATAAATAGGTAGACAATCTCAAGGTCACTTTAGTGTCACTCAAAGATCGTCCATAAATTATAGTCTTACCTCTTCTGTCTTCAGGCATTTCACTGATGATATATAATACTTATATCTGTCGACATCAGTGGCACACACAGTGTTTAGTGAGTATGTAGTACTCTGAATTTTCATTAAATTTTCGGTTTATTTCGTTCACAGAGAATTTCATTTCAACTGTAACTCCAACTTGACTATAATATATGGATGAATCAATGTAATTAAATATAATGTAGTGAATGCTACTGATGTCAACAGATATAAGTAGTATGTCTCATCCATCGAAGGTGAAATGTCTAGCTTCAGAAGGTTAAGAAGATCAAAGATTTAATGCATATATGTCAAGATTTGGTGCTTAAAACTAATAACAAGATCATTCAAGGCCATACTTTCGTACAATATTTTTTCAGCTTACTTCAGTCCAGGTCGATAAATGACATTGAAGAACATGGTGAAGAAGATTTATAGCTCAGATAGATTATTTAGGTGGAGTTTTTTTCTGAGCTAAATGGTTTGATCGTGGAGCTTTCGTCGTTCTTCTGAACGACATCATCAGTACAAACTTCGATCAATCCTATGCAAACCAAGAGACGAAATGACAAAAGAAGAAAAGTCGAACTGCGACAAACACTACATCGGACAAGATGGACACCTTCTGAATCTTCGCCTAC